GACGTGTTTAGTTATCAACATTTTCTGCCTATATTACATTAATGTAAAATAAGTCAATTATATAAAAAGCAACCCCCATAGCCACTGGGCTATGTATAAATTAAAATGCTTATGTGAATTTGTGTATTAACTGAATTTGTGAAAAATAGTGAATCAGCAAACCACTGCTATTTTGCTTTCTTAGATTTAGCAGCAAGCTTCAGATTTTGGCTGTCTGGGAAAGAAAGGTATTTCAGTGTCTGAAACTATTCATCTGACTACTGAAATCAACCGCAACACTCAGTCACTGCGAGTACTTTTTATCTAAGTCACTCTCTTAGAGCGGTGAAAATAAAATTGCACAGAGCCGTAGGCTCTATAGTAAATTTTGACAGACAGGTGCTCGTAAATAACTCGCTTTGTTTCTCCTTTAGTTATTAGAAGGCTGCAGCCTTTGGCGTGCTGTCAAGGGTGGCCACGATGCGCTCACCCTTTGGGAAGGTTGCACCAATTCTTTGCCTATTTTCACTTTGGGCTTGATCCATGGCTTAGTGAAGCTGATGGAATTCTTTCCAGGGACTTCTGTGCGCTTTGTAATTAGGGGTAAGCTAAAGGTTTACACTTTGCAAGAGTTTAGCACGTGCTTTCTTATGGCAAAGCAATACCAATGCCCACAGATGAAGAAAACTGCTTTAAAACAGCATTAAAAATATCACAGTGAGCTTGGTTGGGAATTAGGTTTAAGAATACCGCTTTGGCATGGTGTCTTGCTAGAGCACTGTGTCTGGCTAGCATCAGCACTCACACGTGCACCGTGCTGGACTTGCAGAGGATTGTCGTGTGCCGACCTTTTGAAAACATGGCTCGGTTGAGATGGTGCAAAACTCGGGGTGGTCACTGGGGAGAAAGAACTTGAAGTACTGGTATTCAATGGAATTGCTCAGCTTGGCCTTCAGAAGAGTGGGACAAGAGCTAGGAGGAATAGCTCCTAGCCCAGACTTAGCAACAGATGTGATAGTCACTGCTCTTCACAATTTTTGGATCAGCCTGGAAGCCAGGGATGCCCCTTTCCCTATAGGTATCAGCTGCAGGCTTCAATCCCCTTGCCCGGGGATGACACTCAAATCTCCCACTTTCAGCCTACGTATCTGAAACTGGATTTAGGCCACTATTTAGAAACTGGCTGCTTCTCTGGGAAAGAGCAGTCCCTGAACCATTCTTTAGCAGATGCCGGTGTACATCTGGCATCCAGGAAAAACTCTGGGCTTCCAACCGCAAGCGGCTGGGGCTGCTTCTTGGCAAACCTAGTCCCAGCACCAGCAGAGGTCAGCACGGGTGGCCGCTCAGCCACACACCGGGCACGGCCTGGCTGACAGTAAAGGGCCTTTGCGAGCTGGGTCCTTGACGGGATTGTCCCACATATGCACTGTGTCCCTGCATGTGGAGACCACCCTGCCAGTGAGGATGGTGGAGTGGGAGGATGGGGTTTGCCAAAAGGTACCTCTAGCTGCCTAATGACCTTTTGACCTAGTCTGAAAGTCTTGGACAGAGTCTTAAAGTCTTTGATCGAGAGCCTATCTCATCCCCCTCCTCTCTCCTTCGCAGTGTAATTAGTGTCTGCCCTCGTGCCCAACATCTTCCGCTGGTTGCAGTGCCAACTGGGATTCCCCTCTGCTGCTCCCTCCCACTTTTCTAGCACAGAACTTTGCGTGCATCACATAGCTGCTATTAAATGTTCACTGCATTCGCTTCTTAGTAATATTTGATCATCTCAGTGCATAAAATCTGTTGGGCCCATCCCACTGCTAGCAGTTACGGGCATGTATCCGTCTTCACACGCACAAGCTTCCGGTTTCTGTATTTTTAGGTCTCTTGTTTGTTTCCCCCCCCGCTTCGCGTTGCTGTCTCCATCCCTCCCGCCCCTCTCTCTGCTCCCTGTGATACAAGCAGTAACACCGCACTGCTGGCAGGGGAGGATGAGTAACAGAGCCACGGGGCTGAGAAAGGCTCCCTTGGAGCGCGCTGGCGTGCACAGCCTCTGCTGCGCCAAGGTATAAAAAAAACCAGTCAGCATTGCTGATTTTAGTTGTAAGTCTCCCCGTCACGACGCTTCCCCAGGCTAATGCAACCCAGTCCCAGGACAAAATTATTCCTGAGCTCTTGTGTGCTTTGGCAGGCCAGGACTCCCAGCAACGCACGAATAAATTAATGGCTCGCTCTCCGCTTCTTGGCCACGGTGTAGGTAACACCGGGGCCAAGACCCTATGTTTTACAGCGTGTTCCTACCCTTGCAGCACCAGTCTTGAGCTGGTTGGTTTTTTATACAGGTGTAGATATACTGTCTCCCTGAGGGCGGTGGCAGCTTGCAGCCATAATTATGGGGGGACGGAGTGCTGACACTCTTCTCAAAAATACCTTTTCCCCTTCACTTCCTGTTGTAGAGGAGGTTGTGCTCATAAACCCGATGGAGAGGGGAGCACATGACTGGAAAGCCAAAAGTTATCCAGGCAGTTAATATTTAAAATAAATAAATAAACGGCCGGGGTTCGTTGGCCGTGCGGAGCTGGGGCCATCCGGCTACGGAGTCACCTTCCGAGTTCAAACATATTGCACTATGACCAGCGATTCTCCACAATACAGTAGGATTTATTAATAGAAAATATGTCAATATGAGTTTGTCTTTGTACATGTTAGCAACATGTACAGTGAAACACACTTTTTGTTTTCTCAATCTATATTGTTATAGTTCTTTTTGTGTTATCTGACATAACCATTTATATTTTGGGCTTAAATATGTTATTTGTCAAAATGTACTTTCACTGTTAATATACCTTTAAAATCATAGTTTATCTTTTAAATATTGAATCAATATTATTTTTTTTTTCAGATCAATATTGCTCATGTTAGTGCAAATTTGTTAATCTTGAGATAGGTTAACCATTCCTTCCATACCATAAACAGCATTTAATAAAACAGTGAGATTTATATAGCTCTACACAGCTGAACAAGATTCTAAGCTTGTTAAAAAAAAAAAAAATCCAACATTTTACAGTACATCAGTTGCATTTTATACATTTTTTTGGAACAGTTTTGTTTCTTCTCTATTTTTGTGTGTGATCTAGTACAAGAATGAAGGGAACAGCAGTAGGAAACCTTACTTTCCTCAATATTAAAAAGAAAGCATCAGAGATATCTTGCTCAGTCTGGCAGCAGTGTTGGATTTCCAAGCCTGGAAATGAAGCCAGGTAATACAACACCTTCTCAAAACTCAGTACAGCAAGAGGAAACAGCAGCTGGAGCACTTGCCACTACAGAAGAATGGAAACGAAACAACACAAAACTATGGACAAAAGGTATTTTATGCCACTTCATTGATCCAGAACCTCTCACTCGAGCAATGGTCAACACTTGACTCCAAGTAATTCCTAAGAGGAGCTGAAAGGGGGCAATGTGGGCATTTCAGTAGTTTGAAGAATGGAAATAAATCCAACTTACAATAACCTCCCGTCCTATGATCTTCAAACAGAATGAGGGATGCCTCCGGCCCGTTGGCAATCCTGCGCCTGGAGAACCGTCGCAGCCTGGTGGTTATCAGGCAGGCAAGAAGAACTTCAAGTTGCGAGTGACATTCTTTATTAAAAAAAAGTTCTTATACTGAAAAAGTGCTTTGTTCAAAACAGCACTGCAAATGTCACTTATTAAAATCAATGTAATAAATAAAATATAAACAACCTGTGTCCAAAACTATGAATAATATTTTTATCTACCTCACTATACATCTGGCCCACTGTGCCCCTCCCGCCCACCCTTTCTTAAGTTTTTTAAAAATTTTTTTGCATGCGTTTTTTTTTCCCCCGTTTACTACAAAGAGCAGATAAGGTTACATATCGTACACCGGGAAAAGCTGCCAAAAAAGATTAAACTATGGTCCTAGATCACCGATAAACCAATTCTATGTCACAATACCCGCCTGCGCGAACTACTCGGGCTGCGTCCTATAGAGCAGGCGATGACGGGCGAGAGACTTCTCCCCCTGCGCACAGCCAGAGTTGTGCCGGGTGATGTTAAAACTACTACAGTGACTAACCACAGAAATGTTTGCAACAACTAATTCCTTAATCGTAATTTAAGCAATTTACAACTACTTTGTTTGTGGTGGGTCTTACACTGTGAAAATGCTACGCTGAACTGTTGCCTGACTCAAAGAAATTAAGAAATGCTAGATTCTTTTTTTCTTTTACTTCCAGAATCCTAAGAGCTAAGACGAACGTGCCAGCTCATCTGGCCACCTAGCCTAGATTCCTCTTCTATGTTTTAATTAAAAAAGAAAGCAAACAAATCTCTGTCCCTTACATTTTTTATTTTTTCAGGGTTTTACTTTAAATGCACAGAAATGGTTGGTAACTTTCATATTTGAGGAATGTGTTTTGGGTATCAGGATTTCTTTTTGGTATGGGTTAAAACAAATGATTGTCCTAATGATTCACATGTTGGACTTTTCTATAGCCCAAACTGTTTGGAGACTACAGAGACTTAAGTCTGTTGGGTCTTTGTTTTTTCCATCCTCTCAGGGAGATGGCAAGATGAAACTCTGCCTACCTTGAGCACTTGCTGGTTGGCGGCTGGAGAGTAATGCAATTTCCTCAAGAGAAGATCAGGAGATGCTACTTTAAGGGAAATGGTACCTAAGAGCGAAGGAGTCAGTGAAAAAAATCCGATAACCCCTTCCTTTGTGAGTATGCGGCCGAAAAATTTTGAATCGCTATCAATGGTTGAGAAAGTGAGTAAGAGAAAGCACATACTGGAGTTTCCACTGTTTAAAAAAAACCCTGAAAAATCAAACAAAAAACTGAAGCTTGAACAAGGAAAACACTGGATGAAAAGAAGTCTTAAGCCACACAAACGCACACGCTCAAATGCACACACGCACACAGAACACTGTGCATACGTGGACACGCACAAGTAAGAATGCGTATTTGTACACTAGGTTCTTGGAAATAGACATTCTTAGCAAATATGGATGACAGATCAATTGTAATTTATTTTCTTTTAACACTGTATCATCATAAAGAAAACTGGTATAAATGAAAAAAATCTATTTCAAATATCTACATCTAAAATTTTAGGCAGTGAAAAAGCACTTCGTTGACAAGGAGTGTGGAATGATGAATGTTAATTGTCAGAAACTGCTGAATGCCTTTTTTTCTTTTAGTTGCCACAAACAAATTCACATATCAGAACGAACAATACTGCTAAATATTCCTTTTTGGTTTTTTTTTTTGATTTTTTTGATTTTTTTTTTTTTGTTAAAACGCACCGGGGAAAAGAAAACAAAAACCTGGAAATTCATACATCTTTCAAAATTTGAAATTGAAGCAATATTTAGAACCATAGATGAAGAAACACTGTGGCATTGGTGTAATATACACAATGCACTTTTTTTCTTTTTTATCTGTAATGTACATCAAATACTTTACAACAATGCATTAACAAAAGGCAAGAAACATCTTGCTGTACAGAGGAAACCCCAAATGCAACTTGAAGCCTAGATTCACAATGAATGAGGATATTAAACAAAGTGTGAGAAGCTGTTCCCCATAAAGTATGTACGCTGCTCAGTTACTTGTGCTTAACTCTTGACCCACATCCACTCTCATGTTCTCCCTCCTTCCTTCAGCCACATTCAATACACAGCACCGAACTTTAGACTCCACAGGCCAACAGTAAAGTTGCCCCACACTGTAAAATATATATATATATGTATATATATTTCTTTCTAATTACTCCCAGGATTAGCTTTCGTATCTTTTAGCCTTCTAAAAAATTCTCTTATTTTTTTCCATACTGGTTATCTGGGCCTTCCTATGGAACAGGCTTTAACAAACTAAATTTGCAGGAAAAAAAATGTCTTGTGGTATGCATGCACATGCACAGTTCCTGGAGCTTTTGTATCTGCCCAAGTCTCAAACCCAGGAGTCGGGAGAGGCTGGATAGTGGCTTGTTTCATAGTTAAGTTCACTATAGGGACGAGCAGCTGAATAGAAGTCGACGTAGTTGCCAGTTGACTTTAGTCCCAGGTGCATGTTGTATTCGCTTGCAGGTGGACGATGATGCACTTGGTCCTCAAAGAAGGACTCATCATAGTTTCTCGTGGAATTTTGAAACGGCTGATACGGTTCGTAATCTTTTCTGCTGGGCTCCTGTGGAACTGGCTGTGTTGAAACCTGAAAGACAGGAGTAACCACAGCTTGTTAGATACAACTTACTGTGGGCGACGAGAGGAAAGGATGAGTAAGCCTCACTCTGTGTTTATCATGCTGGAAATACAAAGTTTTACCTTTGTAATCTTAATATCTGCTCAAAATACTGCCTGGTAGTGAATTAATGCCACAGCTATGACTTGTCACTACTTTTTTTTTACATCTATAAATTTTCATATTATTAAATAGATTTATTTTTAATGATATTGCTGCTAGAAGATGCTGGTTTACTTCGAAAGTAATTCAAATCTGGCTCTGAGCAGCGTAGCTCACAGTTACTTTTGTAACTGTAATCTGTATATAGCTTTCTGACCAGATAATGCAAACACTGGTGGCCAAAACTCAGACCTGAATTTGAAGGGAAGCGATACACACTCCAAAGATACCTCACATTCTGCAGCTGCCTTTGCCACAAGTGAGATTTAGAGCGATACCGTACCCTAAAGAACCATTTATAGCCTTCAGGGCACTGACATGAGAAAATTTCAAGCAAGAGTGCCCTGAAATGTGTTCTGCTGCTGTTAAGCTGAACCATCTTCCTACCACCTCCTCAACGCTTCAGGATGGCAATCTGGTGTTGTTGGTGCATTCCAGCAAGTTGCTCTGGAGCTGAAACATCTCTGCTATGCAGTTAAAAGTCTCAGGCAGTCCCTTCACCTAAGTTTGCAATAAACTTTTTGCAGACAGCCCTAGTGAGTCTGTTTTTATAGCTGGAACCTAATTAAAATCTGAAATTTATAAACATTTGCTAAATATTATAGTGGAACACTACCTTTCACTCTATGTCACCTCTATAGAGTGTGTACCTCTACCTCTTCGGGTAGACTTTGTGACTGCAAAATGATACAGACCTTCCATCCTCACATGGTCGTACTGGGAATACTGACACTCAGATGATGGTGTCGGGAGACTCTCTGCAGGTCCTGCTGACTTTGCAAGAGCTAGCAATGCTCCTTCAAGAAGAGAGGAAGAGTTGCACTCCCATGTCCCAAACCCCGTGATATCCCTCCTAAGCATGTTTGCATCAGACTCTATGCATAGAGTGCAAAATGTCTTCTCACGATCCTACAAGTAATCTTCCCACACTGGGTCCAATATTAGGACAGCAGAAGGGAGCCTTACTACTCTCACTTCTAACACTGCTATCAAGGTGAACAGGACCTTGGGCCCCTCTGGTCATTTCACATACGTAAGCACAGGTGTTTAATTTTGGACACATGAGAAAAATTCCATACTAAGCGACTTATTCATATGCCAGAAGTTAGAGATGGTCAAATTTTCACTAGAAAATAGGGGACTGACAGAGTGTTTCTGGGTTCTTTTTAGCTGAAAACATTATTTCTGATATATCAATCATGACCCTGACATTTCATTGAGAACGCAAGTGGGAAAAGCTGGAAAACTTTTTTTTTTTAATCTGGTTTGTTTTGTTTTCGCTCAAACTCTCACCCTAAAAATCAAATTAGTTGATTCATGACTGCAGTTAGAGTGCATCTGCTGTTACAATACCTTATACCCTTATTTTGCCTAAATACTGTATTAATTAGAAGGGCTTCATCTCTAAATGCAATGAAAGCAGAGACACCTTCACGCACAGACCTGGCTCACACAAAGAAGGAATATGGTGCACCACAGGAAACACTGGCTAATTAAAAATCAAAACCAATAAAGAGACATGGGGGCACAGAATATCAGAAACTCTCTTCATCTAATGTTTGTGGATTAAAACCAAGATTTAAGACACTCACATTGAAATTTCATGTAATCCAGTAAAAAATTTCAGAGAAAAGTATTTTTTTTAATCAGTTCTACTAAATATTCATTTACCTGTCTGACACTACTAATCATTTTAAGTGCTTTCCTTAAATGGTTTTTGGTCCCATTTCTCTAGTTGAAAAATGCTCTAACTTCTGCATCTTACACAGAGAAGTTGTGAAAACATTTGAGTTGGCATAATTAAACACAAAGTAGCATTACACATAAAGATGAAACAAAAGCCTATGGGTGCAGAAAAATGTCTGTTTCCCAGGGATTGAAACTGGAAATACTAGCTGTATGAATGCCATATATGTCAATATTGGACTTTTTTCTGTGAGCGCATTAACTTGGCACCCATGGTGCCAATTACGCTTTTGTAACGTCCACCTTATCCAGACATACTTACTGCATTATGGCTTTTAGGGACAGACATTTTAAAAGAGTCCCAAAGTTCTAGAATGATTGGCTCAGATGTATATATGTAAGAAAGCGTCCTCGCCGATGAAACGCTACGTTTTCTCTCGCTCACACCTCACTGCATACATTAAAAAACAACCTAGCAAAAAGCCTGGTTAAAATCATGCTTCTGGAGTGACTAAATGGCGAATCTGAGGGCCTTTGCTACACGTCAGCATAACATACGTGTCTCCGCAAAAGATACAGGAGGTTTTTCCTCCAGGACTGTTCAGTACATGAGTTTCTGCTAGGATGCCCCGGCACGTGAGCCGCGGGGTGTCAGTAGCAGTGCTGAATATTGTGATGGCTATACTCAGGTAATATGGTGTGACTGGACTTAACAAAATTCATTGGCACAGGCCATTATCAGACACCGGAGCCAGCAGAAGTTCCCATTAACTTGGCTTTTGTAGCCCGTTGTGGTGTGCCTCTGCGATGGGGTTTTGGTAGCGGTGAAGGGACCACAGGGCTGGGTCCTGTGGGAAGCTTCAAGAAAAGCTCCCCCACTTCCAAGCCAGATGCACCTCTGGCCACGGCAGAGCCAGTCAGAACCTCTGTGATTTGACATATTGAAGAGGGGAAAAAAAAAGAGAGCCAGCTGCAAAAGCGGAAACAGCGTGGAGAGAGGAGAGGAAGGAGAGAGGAGTGGGGTGCAAGAGAGACCACTGCCTGCTCAGTGCGGAAAGGCGGGGAGGAGGGGGCCAGAGCAGAGGTTCCCCTGCAGACCATGGTGAGAGGGCAGGCTCTGCCCCTGCCCCATACAGGGTCACAGGGGAGCAGAGACCCACCTGCAGCCCAGGGAGGGCCCCACACTGGAGCAGGGGCAGAGTGTGAGGAGTCCTCCCCCTGTGGAGGAAGAAGCGGCAGAAACAACGCATGATGGACTGAAAACAACCCCATTCCCTGTCCCCCTGTGACACCAGTGGGGATGAGGTAGAGAAATGGGGAGCAAAGCTGAGCCTGTGAAGAAGGGAGGGGTCAGGGGAAGGTTTTTAAGATCTGGTTTTATCTCTCATTATCCTACACCGATTTCACTGGTAACTAATTACATTGATTTTTCTCCCCAAGTCGAGTCTGTTTTGCCCATGACCATAACTGGTGAGTGATCCCTCCCTGTCCTTGTCTCGACCCACGAGCCTTTCCTGATATTTTCTTCTCCTCATCCCAGCAGCAGCGGAGTGAGTGAGCAGCCACTCTCTCTTTTACTGCCAGCTGGGCCTAAACCATGACATCTGTGTCACACATATCCAGAACTTTAAAGGCATTCAGGTCTCAAGCTGCTCTTGATTTCATCATAAATTACCTGCAGCCCAGGGAGGGCCCCACACTGGAGCAGGGGCAGAGTGTGAGGAGTCCTCCCCCTGTGGAGGAAGAAGCAGCAGAAACAACGCATGATGGACTGAAAACAACCCCATTCCCTGTCCCCCTGTGACACCAGTGGGGATGAGGTAGAGAAATGGGGAGCAAAGCTGAGCCTGTGAAGAAGGGAGGGGTCAGGGGAAGGTTTTTAAGATCTGGTTTTATCTCTCATTATCCTACACCGATTTCACTGGTAACTAATTACATTGATTTTTCTCCCCAAGTCGAGTCTGTTTTGCCCATGACCATAACTGGTGAGTGATCCCTCCCTGTCCTTGTCTCGACCCACGAGCCTTTCCTGATATTTTCTTCTCCTCATCCCAGCAGCAGCGGAGTGAGTGAGCAGCCACTCTCTCTTTTACTGCCAGCTGGGCCTAAACCATGACATCTGTGTCACACATATCCAGAACTTTAAAGGCATTCAGGTCTCAAGCTGCTCTTGATTTCATCATAAATTACAGGCTTAAACATCCCAGATAGCTTTCGTGAACATGCCACATAGAACAGAAACATTTTAGCCTCCTTACTTACCTGGTTATGTTTGATATCTTCAGCAGGTGCACCATAGGAATTCCGGTACAAAGTTGAGATTCCAGTGTTCTGAGCTGGAGGGAGAAAAAAAAGAAGGAAAAAGCAGGATTACCAAACATACCTCTTCAGCCTCAAAATGAATTCTGCAGGTTTCCTTAAACACATTATACACCATCTGTTTCCTGTACACAAAAATTTTTTAAAGAATCTGCAGACTTCTGTTTTCTCTTCCTTCCACTGACAATCAAAACCTTGTCTTTGGTGCACACGTAGGTACATGGTACACACTTGCTAACAGTAACAGGAACTCTGTCATGCTCAAAACAATCTTGTGCACTTCACCTATAAATCGCCAAAATAATTCCATATACAGCGAGCATTCAGTAACGTATTTCTGGTTATATGTGGGATTTTATATCACACACACATTGAACAGGTGACAGTTGCAAATACTGAGATTAAGAAACATTTCATTCCTTTCATGTCAGTCCGATGATGTTACACCAAATCCTGGATTATTTATCCTACAGTGCTTTTGCTATATGGTAAAATTATTAATGGAAGAAGTGATTAAATGCAACTGCAAAATGAGTTATGCAAAAAAGTAAAACGTAGTTAGTTATACTGAAAAGGTCTGGCCAAGATATTCTCAAATCCATGAGCTTCTGTCTCTTCTCGGATGCCCTGCTACTAAAATGCAAGAACAAAACTGTGTTACGAGTTCAAAGTCAGGAGTAATTCTAAAGGAAAGGATAACACCATACAGTTTTGCAAAAAACTTATTTCCCAGCCTGCCCCCATCCCCCAACCACATAAAAAGCTAAGGAAGCTCAGTTCGCTGGGAGAATCAGAATGATTGTAGTTATTATTTCTCATATTTGAAAGAATATGAGGGTAGGATTTTGTGTGGCTGCTGTGCGCTGTCCTTAATGGGCACTCATTACTAACATTGCAGACATTATAACCAATGACTTGATGCTGTCATGAGTAAAAACTGACATGTTGTGAATCAGCCATCAGTGGAACTGAAACAGGTTGCTCACACAACCTCTTTCAGGTCACTGTGCAATGGTGTAAAACCTGGAGGCACCAAGAGTTGCTTTAAACAACTTCGCCACTCGAAACCTTTGAGGGTGAGGACTGAGCACCAGCGCTGGGAGCTGGGTATGGGACCCATGCTAGTCACATCACTAAGAAGAGCCGCAGTTACTGAACAAGTAACCACTTTCTTCCTTTGGCAACCTGCTAGCATGGATCCCAGCATGTACGACTGCCTCCATCCTTCTCCCCGCCACCGCCGTCTCGCTGCAGAAAGGAATGGCACAGTCTGTAGTCAAAGTCGACTGTAATGCGCCGACTCTGATCTTCACATCTGCTACAGGGTCTGTGCTGAGGGTGTAATTTTTGTCAGTTTGGTGCACTGTTCCACACTGTTCCTTTACAGATCTCAGATGGTGTTCTCAGAGATCTCCAGCGTGTTCTTGAGTCAGGATAAAGACAGGGCTTATATGGTGGGGTAGTGAGCCCTAACCGCTGGAAAAAGAGGCAAACTTGGTAACCATTAACTGATAGGGAAGAATGAACTCCTGTTTCTTGAAGCGCTGGATGCAGTTACGGAAACATTGCATAGTCCTGTGTAGAAACTGGAGAAGAGCTCTGGAGGTCTCCAAGGCATGCAGCAGAGACCCTTCCTTTGGAGGTGAGAAGAACACGAACTCTAGTAACAGATGATGATTGGTCTTTTCCAGTGATAGGTAGTCTTAATCCTGCCTGTGTGCCAATAGGTGGCAACAGATGGAAGTGATGACTGCTTGAGTAGTTTCTCCTTTGCCATAAATGTTAGCACCAAAGGGCCAATCTGCAGAGGTTCTTCAAATGCTCAGGCTGAATTTTTTCACCAAACTTCAGTGATGTGTGAGAGCTGACTGTAGTTTCAGAGTTTTTTATATTCCAGCTGCATCCTCTGCTTCAGTGTTTGAACCCCTCCCTCCTGATGAGAGTCTTCGGTATTAGGGGAGTCTGAATCACGATTGCTATTTACGGTGCATCTCATGATGGCACGACTCTCAGTAGTACAACTGCCAGATCTTTCCTTGATACCATCTTTTTAATGCTGTTTTTCTGAGCTTTTTTCTTGTCCTACAAAGTGCTAGAAGAAGTTGGGTTATACAAATTCCCCCTCTAAAGACCTGAAGATACTCAGTGTTTCAGCTACCCATTTTGTGAAGTGCTACTTCTTGAAAAAAACCATGAAAGTGATATACAATATGTTGGACTTTCATAAAGAGGGGAAAAACTTTCTGTAAGCATTTTGTTTTCATGTATACAAATTGCAAGGTAAGCAGAATTGAAGTTTCATGCATGCAAGTTTTTAGTCAGTCATATTCAGTCCAGACAGGGCAATACTGTTCATGGTTGGTTAATGTCAAGAATAAAAAAATGGTGTAAGATGTAATATCTGCGGGTTTTATGAAGAATCTGATGAAAACCAGCAAACTGGACACATGCTAATTTATATGTTGTTCCTACAGGCAATCAGAGAGACTTTATGGAGGGTCATGACCTCCCCATCTTTTTACAGGTATTTAAGAAGGCACATGGTACTTGTGTGCCACTAATAGCCATGACTATTAAAAACCACAGAAATAGCGCAGAGCTGGTGCATAGCTGTCCAGTGCACTACTGTGACATTTGCACTGATGGGCTCCGAACTGTCACATGCCAGATTGAAGACTTACAGTCTCCCGGATCACATATTCCACGATGCAAAAAATGGATAGTTTCAGCTTATGAAAACAGCTGCAAAGTCTGCATTGCTGATTCCACTGCAGTGATATGGACACAAAATCACAAGTTTAAAATGAAAAAAAAAAAAAAAAAAAGAGTAGTTTTATTTTCTTAATATAATAAAAAGAAATATAATGACACACCAAATGCTTGGAAATGAAGGTCAGGAGTTCAAGAACAAGAAAGCTTGGCTTGGTTTAGCTTGGAGGTTGAGATAATCCTGCCTCCGGAGGAAACGTAAGTCAAGCAATGTAGCTGCTAGCAGTGCATGCAGCCCCGCTCCAGTACCTGCTTCTGAACACGCAGGCAGCATCCCTGGGAACTCCATTCCCCCTCTGCCATGCTTCAGTGAGCAGTTGACTCTTGCTGTCCAAAAGCAGAGGGCAAATACAAAAGAAAGAAGGGAAAGAATGAGCTAGAGGAATGGACAGATATTGTGTGGTTAGTATATGGTTTTTGTTGCTAATGTTGTGTATGTACCATCACAGTAAAATTATCAAACAGAGAGAGAGAGAGGTGAGTAATTTTCTTTTTTTTTAAAACATGGCTAGAGAAGGGAAAAAGGTACAAGGAGCAAGAGGTGGAGATTTTACAGCAGCCACACTTCTGTACACAGATGTGAGAATTGTAGCTGTACATGAAATGATTTGAGGAGTGATGAGTGTGTGTGTGTGTATTTTATGCAGTATCTAAACAACAGCACATGATAGTACTGCAGAGGTTGTTTTTACTGGGCAAAATTGTGAAGATTCTAAAATAAGTACTATGATCAACCTTTGTGGTTGCACTGCGTAAAGAACAATATAGAAAAATATCTTCCTTTTTTCCTCCTGTTCAGCTTTCAAGGTAATTTTTTTTTTTTTTTTTTAAATCATATAGTTTCCCACAGCAGTTTTCTGCAAAGCTGGAAACAGCTCTGAAAATTATGTCATGTGGTGGTTTATGTGACAAAGATACCACTGACCGAAGCCATCCCCATATACCCCAGTCACTTGATTCATGGTTTAACATTCAGCTTTCAGTTTTTCTAAGTACTTATTCTGAACACATTTACAAGCACTTTGAAATAACAAGGTGCTAGCCTTCTGCCCTCACAAAATGCAGACGGTAAGGAAGGACGGCTCAGCTGGACAGGCAGTCATCCTCAACCGGTATTGCATAACCTGCTTTTTCTCCTATAAGCAGCAGGGCTCCATTCTCTAAAATTTAGTTCAAGAGGAAAATGCTCTGTTCCTCACAAATCTCAGCTAACAGAAATCGCTACCTGTCATTATCACTGCCACCTCCCTGTTCGGGGAAAGATGAGGTAAGGGTATGAGAAAAGATTATAGTGTACTATGGTTTTTAAAGTAATAGTGAGCTCAAGTGGCGCGAGCATCTGCAGCTACCGCAGCTGATCACGGTGGTTGGTTGTGTTCTGAGTGGGCAGGGGCTTGCGAGCAAGTTTAAATAACCAAAAATATAGATGATATTGATTCTCGATAGCCAAAAGAAATAAATTAATCAGAAGGTGTTTCTGCTGGTGGAAGTGAAGATAGAGGGTGCAGGCTGTGACACATGTATTAGTTCAGCAAAGGAACAAGCAAAGTGAAAGAAACTTGAGAGTAGGAGTCCCATGATCGTATACAGTGAGCTTGTCTTCCCTCTTCTGACCGAACACACCATGGCATAAATAACGTTATCACATGCACTTACAGTTCCTGGTTTTTTTTAAAGGAATATAATAGGTTTTGTCTTAAAAATATACTTTAGGTGATAAAATTTTATCATTGGTTATTATTTTCTATGGAGAAGATGGATAGTAAATATACCATGCATCATAAACCTGGAAGGGAAGAGGGCAATGAGACCTTTGATACTGTTCCTCTATTTTTCAGCTGTCCTTGTGAAATCAATATAAGTTACCATCTTCAGCCAAACTGTTTACTTCATAGATTCTCCATTTTTTCCCAGAGGTTTTCTGACAACTCCCCACAAAGGCAAGAAGCGAACGCTTGTACTTTGAAAATCTATCAAAACCCCTTCATTTCAGTCCCAGCCAAGAGGTCATAAAATTTTTGAGCTATAAACTGAGAAGAGCTTTGGAGAAAAGCATGGAGACAGCCATGGATGAACTGGGACTACAGCTGTGTCTCTACATTCTGTGTCAATCCGTAAGTCAAAGAAAGCTTTGTGTAATACATCAGTTTGGCACAAAATCCAAGAGCAGCTCAAAATATGTGTACGCCAGGTGGAACCTGAGAACACATTTCTCTGAGTACCCTAAGCTCTGAGGATGTATTAGCTGCAACGCATTGTCTGCTGCACAAAAACGAAACACAGGCATTGCAAAGAACTTGCTACACGAGCTTATATTAGACCATCCAAGCAAAGTCAAAATGTCTCACAATTAAAATCACAACTACTGGTTTTATATTGTTCTTTAATGAAATATTTATTTTATGAGCTACAAATATGTCGCACAAATTTCACGCTGGATGTTGACGAGCGAGACTCCTTCTAACTCTCATGGTCTTTTGTTCTTAAAATGGTGCTTAATTTAAGCTCAGACCAAACAAGCAGAGATTTGGTGACCTGAAAGAGAGAGAGAAAGTGATTTGCTAATTTCATATTCATTTGTAGAATGGTCACGTAAGATTGTGAAATATTAATAAACTTTTCAATTTGATTTTGGTTTTGATTTTTCTCACTGAGCTTAGTGTCTGGAAAAATAGTAGAAAGTTGAGCACGATGCTGAGACTTTCGATTTTCTTTACTAAAAGCCCACCCAAAAGATCAATAAGAACAGACAAAACACAAGCAGATATTAAAGGAAAACACAGTGCAAAAATCAAAGTGGAGGAAAGGTTGCTGGGGAAGTACAAACATCACGCTCTGAAAATTATATTGAAGCAGAAAGGAAACAAGGAAAACAGGAATGGGAGAAGAAAAACACTACATGAAAAGACAAAATGAAAAGGGATGGGGAAAAAGAAAACCCCATTTTTTTTTTAAGTGTGGAGAGAGACAAGACTATCTGCAAGAAACATGGATTTTCCACATGGAAATGCTTTTTTTCCCTTCTGATATAATCTGGTAGTCTAAATTTGCAGATACTGCTAGAACAAACCACTACTGTTTCTGCCTTTTCAGCCTGCTGCTCTTACTCCTGAGATTCCCTCTTCACGGATCCTTGACAAAATGCTGAAAAAAACCCAGTCCTGTCCTTCACAATCACACAAGTAAGGACCACTGATGTGTTTTAGAGAACCACCTGGTGCAGTGACTATGAAACACTCAAAATATTACAGATACATAAAAAGCAGTACCTTGACTGAAGCTGCTGCAACCCCATGCGGTACAACGCAGGTGCCATTCAGGATGCTCCTCATTTCTGTGGATTCCAAATGCTCTTGACTGTGATTTCTCTTCTTCAGATTTTCACTTTCATGCTAATTAACATTCTGTTCACCCAAATTCAAGGGTTGGCCTTCAGGTTTCGATTACAGAAGAGCATACAACACAGGAGATGTAGTACGAGTACCATCATATCCTACGTACAGTCTTGAAAGCCAGTATGGATGGCCTGACACCGAGTCAGCGTGCCACTGGTGTCCCCCGTGAGCTGAGGAACACAAAGACAGCCCAACCTGGCACCCTCTGAGCAAGACCTCTACAGAGAGTGTGGGAGGAGGTAACAGGCGTTCAGAAAGTACGCTCCCCACTGTGGCTTTTTGCTTACCCTGAAGCAGCCTGCGGAGGAGAGGACACCGTGGTGCTCAGCACCGTATAAACGTACAGAAATGTTCAGCAGAGATTATACAAGCCTGTGCAATGGTGACAGAGACTAACATTCGCAAGAGAATCGACAAAGAGGTGCAGCAATAGGCAAAGCGCTCAGAATTTTAGAATTACTGAAACGCTAACAGGTTAGTGAGCTCACTAGGTGAGACCAAAGCAGGTTGACTCTTCTCTGTAGTGCACTACGCCCAGCCAAGGCTATAAAATCAGTGGCCTACCACAGCTGATTTTTATACATGTTACGCCAGCATAATCTCACCTGTCATGGTGTCTTTCCTAGAAGTGTGTTCTCCCTTACTTCCATGGTAAGTGGCGTTTGTTCCAGTTGATTCATAGTCTGTTTTCCTTTCTTTTAGGCTGATCATTTCCCGAGGTGAGGCTGGGGCACTTGCTAAATCACAAAAACAATTTATTTTTTCTCAACACATATGACTGAGTGCAGCGTTTACACTGTAAACATTTTACTAAAGTTTATATTTGTTACCATACTAACATTAAGCTGTTTGAAGAAACACTACCCCATTATGGAAGCAAATGTGTTGTTACTTCAAATACAAGACAAACGTATTCATGGGACAATCAACTCCAAACATCATTTTCTCTTTGAATGTTTTACTTCTTTTCACTTACACCGAACATCCAAGATGATAATTAAGAAAAAAGTACAATAATTATGATTTTTTAGTTTCTTTAACTTGTCAAACCTTTCTGGTATAGGCACTTCATTTTTTCTTTTTCTAAAAATGGTTAATTTCTTTCTGCTGAAGTGTGGAAAAAACCCTTATAAAATGGTTTCCTCCCTTCCCTGTTGAAAATAAACAAGACCATTCTGATTCTAAGGGGAATGAAAAGAAAATAAAGGTGTGTTTCATAGAAAACACATAACAAAGAATGCCTAACACTTAAGGGTAATTAAAATAATTCCTCTGTCTTTAAATATCTATGTATGAACAACTGCCATCAAAACAACAACTGCTACTTAAAGTATCATTGAAACTAAATCCTTCATCACCAATACTTGTGGTACGACTAAAAGGAGGAAAGTACGAAGTGACCAGGAGGAGAACTGGTTTTGTACTTGATTCTCACACGCTGGAAAATGTGAAGGTGATCACTGGCAGTGATCATGAAGACTTAAGAGCTTGCAATGCTGAGCAAAAGAAGAAAAGCAGAGCTAAAAATAACGGCTTTCAAGTAAACTGACCAGTACATTCAGGTGTTGGTAGATAAGATGCACTTTCCCTGTTAAAGAGGGCAGGGGAAGGAATACAAGGTGAGTGGCAGAGCACCCCAGAGGCTCATGAAGGCACAGTGGTCCAAAAATAATTAAATTATTGGTGCTTACTTCCACTCCCTCCCCTGCCTCCACCCAGATATCTGATATGTCAAAAGAACCTCAAAAGCAATAACAATGTCTTTGCTTAAAAAAAGTGGGGAAGAAAAGTATGACAAACTCATTTATGAAGCTTGATGGTAAGTTATGTCTTTCAGCATCTCTAAAATACGTTACTGTCTTTAGTTAAAGAGTAGGGAAGCACTTGTACTTATTTAAGGATTAAGGAAGCACAAGTGATGTTGAATTCTGCTTAGATTGACTCTGCTGGCCCTGAATTTATAGAGCAAACGTGGGACAGATGGTTTTTCTTATGAAGCCATTAGAATTGGGGATTGCTTTTAAATTGCTTGTCAGTAGTGACGTAACTCCAAAGCTGAGAATGCAGCAGATATAAAGAAACGTGACAGTAAATTACCAACTCAGCCAATGGCAACTTGACTCTAGTAGGGAACAAGACGGAATGCAAACCTTGAAAAAGTTGCTAACATGGGGATGCATTTTGTTTCACATACGCTGGTAACGCTTTTAAGCGCTCTGGTGTTTTGAACAAAATTGACTGATAAAGACAAAATCGTCTGTCTCCGTACCCTGGGGGAATTATCTCTCTCCTCCCTTGTGAGAATAACTGCTTTCTGGCAAGTGTTAGAATCCAGAAGTGCCCTCTTTCAGAGTTTTTACTGGAAGCATACATGAAATTATTGGTTGACATTAGACTGGAAAGTGACATCAAGGCTTTCTGCTCTTATTCTCAAAGGCCGCAGAAGACAGTGGTCTCTACACTAGCTACAGCATTTTATCAACAAGTCCTAGGGATGGATGGGACATTGTGATTTCATTCACTTCAACTCTTTACCCCAAGGTAGGATCCAGTATACCAAAATAATTCCTGACAGATTTTCATCTAAAACTAAAGATCTCGAATGACAGAGAGCACATAGCTGCTCCAAGCAGTCTGTTCCAGTGCTTTGTTTCCGTACTGTTCCCTGACTCCTCGCTACTCATCATTTCCTTTTGTCCTCTCTGAAAGTAGAGAAAGTTCATGCTGTTCCTCTTCACAGCCAGCTGTTACACACTTGAATACTCAAGGTGTACTTCTGCCCGCTGCCCCCATCAGATGTGCCTCTTATTTGAGTTAAACAATTACAGCCCATTCAGTGTTTCCTCACATCCTGATTTCTCCATCTCTTGATTCATGTTTGCAACTGACAAAAATCCCTAAATACCTATTCAGCGATTAAATTTCTAAATAACTTTTGTCTAGCCAGATATTCTCCTTATAATGTATTTGCAAAGGACTGGATCTTTTTTTCCCTTTTGCCAGTATCTCCAATTTCTCACTCTGAATTCCAATAATGATCTTCAAGGTACATGAGTTTCTCCCAGGTTTATGTCACCAGCAAAGATAATAGGTATTCTTTCTGTATTATCTGGGTCATTCATGAAACCACTGAAGAGTACTGGACCCAAGGAAAATCTCCAAGCAGAGCATTCTTCCATTTTGGCAGTAAGCAATACCTATTATTTGCGAATAGTTTTCAGCCGGTTTTGTATTTACCACACATGGTAGTTTCTGGCCTGTGTTAGCTTGCCCTAGCTTCCCCATAAGAATCTTGTGTGAGGGTGTCTTACTGATTACAGTACACTTCATTTATTGACTGTTCTTTCCACAGAGTTTAAGGTGTGATGTAGCAGGAATTCAGGTGGATTTTATATGAATAAAACATACTGAACAATTGTTCGGATTTGATACAGATTTTGTAAGTTTTAAACTTATTTTGTAGGTTACTAAAGGACAGTAACTTACAATACTATGTAGAAATAGATAACTCCTAGAGGTAAACAGTATCTTTTGTTCCCACTGTCTTTGAGGTGCACAGATTGTGATTATTTGTTCCAGCAATTACCTAGAACAAGCTGACTGGTCTGTAATAATGGCTCCTATTCCCTCAGAAACAGCCACTATATTTGTCTTTTTCCAGTCTTATGATAAGTGATGATGGCAGTAAGATTTAATCCAAATTTTTTTAAAGTATGTTCTTTAAGCAACTGTGTAACAGAAGTGAGAAGACAGTTCTGGTAAGAGACAGAAGTAAGATCTCAGGGCCAGACATTTCCAGTGCCTTGCACTTATAGTCAAAATGAGATTTTGGAGAAGAAAAAAAGGAACAAGAGCCCTTTATGCCTTGAGTAATGACAGATTCTGAAAATTGAAAAGCAGCTGTCACTGTACTTCTAGCTACACTTTCACATTTCCTCAGTGGTTGTTCTGCAGGACTAAGATGCAGATTTTACGCAATTAACAAAACAATTTTCTTAAACACAAAACTATGGCACAATGCTGATGGCAATAATCAGTGTGGCCAATTTTAATCCTAGTTGGTATACCTACGAATGAGAGCATTTGATGGAACAAGTAGTAAAAAGCATATTGAAAGGCTGACTGTTTTGGTTGTGTTTATCTTGGAAGATTTTTCACTGAGAATGGTTTTACCTAACCAAGGTATGTTCTACCTTAGAATAAGCTGAGGGGAAAATGCCCAGATTTCGGAATAGAAAAATTAATTAACACTGTGGCAGAAGTTGAGATACATTAATTAATTGTATGGATCATACAGAATTCACGACAGTTGGTGTAAACATGCCATCAATGTTACACGAAGACCTGTAGTCAATGTTTTGTGAAACTTATGTATGCCAGTGTATGCACGCTTACATACACATATAACCAGAATAAAAGCCGGCAAAAAGTAAAGTGGATCTTTCAACTTCTGCTAAATTGAAACAACATAGCGGTTTTCATGACAAGCAAAGTGAGCAACAGAACTTCCTCATGCTACAAATGGACGCTGCTGCCCTGAGATCTGGCCAAGTAACCCCAATCAGGAAAACACTGCATGAGAATTCATGACAACAGGTTATGGAATATTCTTTCTGCTGTAAAACTTTGCAAGGTGTTAATAAAAAAAAAATCCTGTTCTGAATAGATCATTCCGGTAAGAGTGGAGAATGTATTTTGTGCCCTTCCAACATTGTGAACAACAAATTCGGATGCTAGTGACATTGCTTAAAGAAGGAAAACGGCAGTGATGGATTACCTCCATCCTCACTTGAGTCCTGAAAGCCCGGTCTTACCTGAGCGGTTGTTAGGAGACATGCGCACGGGAGAGATGGAGGGCGTGCGTGATGAGGAGTACGGTCTTTGCCGATCCCTTTCTATCGTTGAAGATGAGGCTACAAAGTGATACTGCGACCATCCGTCCTGCAACATCAAACATTACGACAGCAGTCAGCGAAAAGGCCGTACGGGCCCTCATTTTAAGTACGGAGTATTTTCCTCTAGTGTTTTCACTACGCAAGTGGGCTACTGTCTTTTTCCTGCCACTGGGGGGCAAATATTCTTAGCGGTGACTACTGACACACCTGGAGAAAAATTAAAATGCAGAAAGTTCTGTAAAATAACACATTTCAGAAAGACTCAAATTCTGAAAACACTGAAAATCAATTTTTGCTTTAAATAATTTGTAACTTATAAGGAAATTTTGGAGTACATAGATGGGGAAGTTCCCAGATTATCAGAATAATTTTAATTATTTGCATAGCTATAGTTTAGTTATATTAACTGCTCATTTGTTCACATGTGAGGAAAAAAGAATCCCGTTTTCCTCACTGCATTTTTCTCCAAGATGTACAGAAATAATCTGTTCCTTCTATTTAAAAGTGGCGTAATGGTGATGTATTAAAAAAAAAAAGAAGCAAAGTAATACAAACATGAGAAACAGCTAGTTTAGAAAAAAAAAAGGAGAGTTTTAATTATTCATGTTTTGTTCCTGCACCATAACATAATGCAATAATCCAAAACAATGTAATTTACATTTTTTAAAGGATATTTAAAATAGTTTGAAAGTATTGTGAGAGAATACATTGACTTTTGCTAGCGCTCTTACTAAATGACAATATTTCAAATGTCTTAAAGTATGGATAGATTTTAACTGTCTTTATCACTGCTTAATGTTAAAATCTAAATCAGTAATACAGTTTTCCCAGTCTTGTACCAAAGGCATAAGCCTTTTAGAAATGCCTACTTTCTGCTGGGCTCAGTGGAAATGGAGCCAAGCACCTGGCATGGTGCTAAACAAAATTTTTGCAAAGAAATGCTGAATAAAAACAAACACAATATAGTATTACCCAAAACCAGCTGGAATTTTCCTCATGCTTACAGACAAATAATTCTCTGTTGGGGTAGTAAAGAATATTCGCAGCCCCCAACCCCAGGCTACTCCAGGCATCCAACCATGAATCCCACCTCCTTCCACTCTCTGCCTTTGCCAAAATTTCAAGGCAAATTGAAAAAAGAAATAGTTAAACTTTAATGCCACTTGCTTAAACCAAAATTTCTTATATCCAGTCTTCCATTTCCAACAAGCAGCTTCTACAAAAGCTGCGTCCTCCAGCCTAGAGGGATGCTCAATGAGAATGCCAACAAACCCACCTGTAAAGCCATAACACCTTAATGTTAAATCAAACTGGAAATTATTAGAATCTTTTCAACATATGTATGTAATATGTATATATGTACCACTTAAATATTTTAAAAAATAACTAATAGTTTATAGCTATAATGGATAGCTTAAGTCCAAGAAATTAATCAAGATTGTAAATAACACACTTCACATAATTTTTATATCTCCTGTTAATAATAACTTGCACGGTGATTTCTCGAATATAAAAATGAAGTAGCAAAAAAAAGTGAGAAGCCTATGGATTTATCCTGATGAAAAATGGTTCCCTTCTTCCTCCTTCTCTGAGGTCAGGAGTTCTTACCAGAGAGGTGACTCTACAATTCACTCAGTTATAGTTTTATGATCATTTATTTTCTTTTAAACAGAATGCTCTAGAGTAAGATATAAAGAGGGCAGGTTCTGGATCTGATAAAAAAGGAATAGACTATTTATTACTGTCTGCCTGCAAAAGAAGGAGACATCAGCCATGCTTACATAGTGCAAGTCAGAGATGCTTCCAGCTTTGTGGATCCAGATGCATGCATGGCCAGGTACACTCTCCTACTGCACTCCTATTGCACTCTTGCTTCCCTCAAATAAATCCCTGTCATGTGGATCAGAAAAAACTGACCTGTGTCTTCCCCTTAAGCTTTTTTCCTTGTGTCTACTTAATCTCTATCATTTACATTAATACCTGGACCCTGGCTCTGATGGGAAGTGGATGAAATAAATCCCTGTTATGTTATCAGCAAAATATCGACAGGTAGTTTGTCAACATTGCTTCCTCAGAAACAACACTGCAAGGTGCCTCAAAAGCAAGGGAGCAAAATCCAGCTGTAGTTGGGATGCTGGCAATAGTGTTCTTCCGTGTGGCAGATGTTCTTCCTTCTCCTGCCTGCAAATTTTCATTTTTGTCTCTGCTGAGAGTAGTGCTTGTAATGAGGTCTTCAAATAAAATCTGCAACAGATATTTGAGTTTTCAAGCCTGATCAGCTCAATAAAACAAGTCTAGCAAAGAATTAACTCTGACACAAGTATTGTGGTGACTTGGCATTGCTTTTGACTAAAGAAGGCATATTGCTATCACTGTATGACAACCTTCACAGTGTTTTTCAACAGCATTATGGGCTGCTCCCAGACCTCACCATATTTCAAAACTCTAATACTTTTCAGTCATCTATCTTTAGCTCTCCTCTCCTGCAAGAAACAACCTTCTTTCCTTGGAAAGGTAAACAGTTTGTAACAAATTCATTAAAACCATCCTCATCCACAATTCTAAAAGCTATTAGTGTTAAATATTGAAACTAATTTTTAAGACCCTAAAGGGAGTATTTTCAATTTAATGCCGAGATAAATACTACCTGACGTGATGGCTGCTTTCATTAGTTTGTTTCAGCTCTAGTGCCTGTAATGAAATTTAATTAAATTGATTTGGGTACTTAAAGGTACAGTATAGCACTGTCCTACAGAGAAGAAAGCCATCTCAAAAGCAAAGTGTGTCAGACTGCATTTCAGAAACCAATTTACCACAAACATGATCTAGAAGAGGAAAAGCAAGACAGAAAAATCTGACAAACTGGAAAAAAATTCAATGCAATTTTGTTACAGAATGGATGCATCTGTTAACTGGCAGCAATTAATTAGTAGGTGGCAACTGTACACTACAGGAGGGCACAGAACAACCAGAGTACAGAAATACCATTATATATCTCTATCATCTCTTCCAAGGTATCTTCCCCCAGGAATTTCTCTATAGTTTGACTATAATGAGTACATGTATTCTCCCGCAATTATACTTCATAAAGTCCAAATATCAAAGCTTGGTTGGCATGTTTCTGAGGCCCTGAACATCAGAAGGATATCAACCAGTTGGAGTGAGTCCAGAGGAGGCCATGAAGATGCTCAGAGGGCTGGAGCACCTCTGCTATGGGGACAGGCTGAGAGAGTTGGGCTTGTTCAGCCTGGAGAAGAGAAGGCTCCGGGGAGACCTTATTGCAGCCTTCCAGTACCTGAAGGGGCGACAAGGAAGCTGGGGGGGACTTTTTACAAGGGTCTGTAGTGACAGGACAAGGGGTAATGGGGTTAAGTTGAAAGTGGGGAGGTTTAGATTAGATATCAGGAAGAAGTTCTTCCTGGAGAGGATGGGGAGGCACTGGAACAGGTTGCCCAGAGAAGCTGTGGATGCCCCATCCCTGGAAGTGTTCAAGGCCAGGCTGGATGAGGCTTTGAGCAACCTGGTCTAGTGGAAGGTGTCCCTGCCCATGGCAGGGGGGTTGGAACTAGATGATCTTTAAGGTCCCTTCCAACCCAAACCATTCTATGATTCTATATGTTCTTGGGAAAGCTGCAGAGATTAGATGTGGGGCAGGGGTTGGATAACCACTGTAGAAAACACAAATGATACTCAGTCTCATTGATCACCTTTTAGTGGGCATAAGGAGTGTACAGGTCCTTTGACCCACCACTCAGCTTTAGGTTGTTTTGAAAATAAAATTCTCTGGGTTGTTGAGAAATACTTATTTTGTTAGGTATCTGATGAAAATATAATGTGGTTTTTCCACTTTTTTTTTTTTTTTTTGTGTTAACAATGTAGGCAAAAAGAGAAAGCAGTTTGCTATTGTGTTTGCAGGATTTCAAATTTCAGAACTCTCTGGTAGCAGAGTTCCTGACTTGAGGAAATGCTTTGAGGAGGTAGGTCACATCAGACACACCATTTTCTCACTTGTAGTACAGTAACAGTATGAGGACTGAATAAAATTAAGCTCTGACGGGAACTGACACCATGCTGACACAATGGGAAACCAGACCTTCTGCCTGAAGAATTCACAGACTGAAGAATTCACAGAGAGGAAAGAGAGGGGGTAGGACACAATGAGGTGGCCAAGTCACGCATGGTGGAGTTGGGAAGGAGCACCAACATCGCCAGACTCGGTGCAGTGCCTGGATAACCTCAAGGTACTGAGTTTTGAGGTACTGGATAACCAGTACCTCAAAGGATCCAGGCAGAAAGAAACCCTCCATAAGCTCATGTGCTAATAGCCATGCAGCAAAAAATAAGAACAACCCCTACCCTCTGGCTGATTATGCTCATCAGCTGCTAAGAAGACACTGACTTTAAAAAGCACCGAGTGGTTTAGAAAAACTTTACGGTGGCTGCGTGCACGTCAGTGTCTTCATATGCTGGAGAGCATAGTCTGCCTGGACTCCGGGCCACTGATGTCCTAACATTGTCAGGAAGGAAGAGAGCAACTTCTTGGAAGCAGAGAAATCCTACTTGGGAAAGAAACAGAAATGATGCAAAAAGTCCAATCATGAAACAGCTAAAACCTAAGAAACCACAGATGATGTTGTGTCCTGCCTCTCCCAGGTTTACACCTCTCCAGCATCTTACTTCTTGCTTCAGGCCTGATCCTCTTGTGTCTTGATTTAACAGACATTTTTCCAAATGGCTTGAAGCATACAGGGCCAGACTTGTTTTGCCATCCTACTTCCTTATCTGCAAGCCAGCATTTTACTGGTTCCAGGAATTAATTACAGCAATAACTGCTCCTGTAATGGTAATAAGCTGGAGAAATGTGAAGCTTTGATAGGCAACCACTTGCAGAAATCAGTAACTAGTCCCACCCCAGTGTCAGAAGTAGGTTAGAAGTAACAAGGCAAAGTGCCTGTAAGTACGTAACGTAGGGATCTGCTCGCTTTGAAACTCAGCCAGGCATTGCTCTGAGTTGCTGGTGCTGCCTCCTTCTCCAGCTGAAGCACC